CTCAACGCCTTTTGGTATGCTAAGTGTGTCAAGCACTTTCTGGAGGAATGTGATCATTTTGTTAATATGCGTTGGGGAATATTATTTGGTAGAATTAAAAAAAAAAAAAAATATAAGAAAGTTGAAACTTTTGAGAACTTAGGTTTTCTCTGTTTAGTAAATACCTACTTGTCGCACTATGCAACATAATATTATTTGTTGCACCTTAAATAAATTTGTTAAATAATCATTTTTCCACATGTGCGTGACGTTATTTTTATAATTCTACCCAAAATCGCTTAAATGTCATCTTACGAATAGGTAAATTGAAGTTGTACGATCTAAAATTGGACGTTGTACTAGGTTTTTTGTTTTCTTTATATATTAAAACCAATCATCATAAAAAAAACTTCAATAATGTTAGTAGGTTCCTTTGGATTCATTATGTCGGATATTGTAAAGATCCGATGATTAATTTGATAGGCGGTGTTTTAATAATAATAATGAACCACTTATTCTGAAAATCGACCAAAAACGAATGAAAAAAAAAAGTTTTTTTTTTTTTGAAAATGAAAATTTTTTCATATAATATAACGATAATATTATGACACGAGGGATATTATAAAAGGTAACGATAAACATTTATTAATTAAATGGAATTGGATTATTCTATTAATAATAAATTTAATTTGGAACCAAAAAATTTATCGTGAAACATATAATGTTTAAAATAATTTATTTTTATTTTTTTATTTTTTTTTCACAAAAAACATAATAAATGAATTTTATGTAATATTGTCAACTATGTAATTTGTTCAAATCATTTAATTATATGCTGATGTTCGTTATAGATTTGCATCGTGTAAACTAAAAATTACATGTTCAAATCGTTATAGATTATATTTCAGCAACTTTATCCTTTTAATACCTTTCAATTGCTCAATTATAAAATCTCGAAAAAATAAGAACAACATGGTGGTGTCAGCAGTCTCTTGGATCTATAAATCGTTCTCATCAAAGTATTAAAAATACGGATAAAAAACTTGAACAAAATGAAATGAGAGCTCAAATAAAATAAAAAAAGTAGAGTTCTCGAAATCTTAAAACGTATATAATCCTAAAAAGTTAATGTTTAGGCTAAAAAAAGTATTCAAAATAAAAAATAATTCAGGAAAATCGTTGATAAAATTATACCTTTTCTAATTTTATATATTATCTTCTCAATATAGAATGAATTGAAATACTAAAATGGAATTCATTTTGACAATGAGAAAGAATTAATTTATTTACTTTGGAAAGTTATTTTTTTTTTGTTTCTATTTATAGTTGGTGAATTAAGAATTTTTTCGTATTACATTTACCCTTCCAATTCGAAAGGAAGGATATCATGCACATATTTATGAATAGGTTTTTATGATTACGGTTTTTTAATAAATAAATAAATTATAATTCTTTTATTGATTTTATTTATTAGTCTATCTATCATCATTATTAGTTTCCAAAAACTAAGCAAAATAAAAATCATAATTATCTTATAATGAAATACGGAGTTTCATATTTAACTCGTTTCAAATTTACTCACAAATCACAAAGTTTTCAACTCGACATATTTAACTTTTAATATTCGATCAGAAAATAATACTAAAAAAAAAAAAAACTAATACTGTTAGATCATAGTAGGATAAAAAAAAAGCTGGATATTAAAACATTTATTCTTTCTATTTTATCAATACTGTAGGAAAATTCATGGTTTCTGCTCTCGTTTCATTTTTTACTATTGTAATAATATTTTAAAAGACGTGTAACCTTACAAGTTTGCCAAAGTGCAAATGATTTTATATTTTTTATTACGCTTGTATTCTCAATTTTCTTGGTGAAATGATTATAGGTGATCACGCAGGTCGCAGGTCCTACGGATGAAGTCAATCTATCTTCAAAAGATGAGAAAGAATAAACACTCGGGAAGAAACTCAAATTTCACATGATAATTAAATATGTTATTAAATTAAAGATAATGATATTAAAAAATTTCACAATTAGAATCAAAAGAAGATAATGAATTATTCATCATCTAAAATTCCGTCAATCTTGTAAACAACCCCATTTTCGGCTTCCAACCTTGAAATCGTATTTATCCTTCCATTTAATTTATAAGAACCGTCCTCATTCTTTTCCACCTTAATTTTTGAACCCTCTTTAAAGGTATCTAACAGTTCATCATCCGAAAGAGATGATGGCACAACATATCTTAAAGCAAATTGTTGTACTTTTTCTGTTGGATCTTCTGATTGACTCGTAACTTGACTTGGTTTGTGAGTTAAGTTACGAAAAACTGAATTGGTAGGTGCAAAGAGTGTGAGGGATATATCTGAATTTGCGATGAGATTAGACTTAAATTACAAAAAAAAAGGAGGGGTTGGTCTTTATTTTTCTTTATTTTTTTTTTTTAAAAAAAAAAATACTATCCTTTAAAAAATTTCATAATTACCAGGTCTTTAGACGCTTTCAAGAAATCGACGAAAATTGTTAGATCTCTTTCTTTGGGTAATATATCATCTAAAGTAAGAGGTCCCGTTAAAATACTTTCTTCATTGTCTTGCATATTAAATTTTTTCCTTTCATCACTATTCATGCTCCTATAAAAGTAACTTGGCTCAATCAATTGACAAAGTGTACTTAGAATACATAAGGAAAATATAAAAATAAATATGCTGCTTCTTGGTCCCATTTCTTACTGAAAGAAATTACACAATTTATGAAATCTTTTATAGTCTTGACTTGTACCACCATAGTCATGATTTTGTCATTAAAAAAATTCGGATGGCTGAATCACTTCAAATCACAAGATCGGAATAATTCCAGCCAAAATTAAAAATAAATAATCACCATGAATTAACAACAATTTACAAAACTACAAAAAAAAGAATGCTTTTTTATTTTAAAATGATTAAATTATTTATAGTAAATTAAATTCAATAAAATGAACTCTTTATGGTAGGGTCGGTTCAATTATAATGAGTTATATAATGTCCTCGTGATAGATTATATAATCGAGATTAAAAAAATGTCGTTGAAATAAACGTGAAGCTTTAATTGGACATCATTTCACGTCAAAATTCTTTGTTGTGCAATTCATTGTTTTGTTTTTTTTATTAAAACTCTACTCCCATTTTTTCCAAATTTGATTTTTCAAGTTTTTTTATATTAACATTTGAAAACATGTAAAAATGGAGCTCGATCATTGAGTAGATCAGAAAGCAGATTTTACCACAAGTAGATTAATCATGTTCTTCAACGAGTTTCCCTTTTCAAAATCTTTTTACTATATAAACCCCCCAAATTAAAAAATTTTGAGGGTATATCATTTTTTTGTTAGTTTTTTTTGATTTGACTGTAAAGGCATGAAATTTTCACACTCAATTCAATTCAACTCGGTCCCTGACTGGGCTGACCATTACCTTGCGTATCCTTTTGAAATAAATTTGTTTTAACTTTTTATATGTATAAACGTTACACCTTTACGCAGAAGGTTTATGTTATGTAATCCTTAAATTGTATCTCTTAACAACTCTTTAATCAAACAGATACTCAAATCTCAAGAAACTTATTTATCAAATCGAGAGGGACATAGTCGCAAGTTCTATTGCTGCTGCTAATGACACGGAGGTGATTTCTTCAACTACTGAACAGTCGCCATTACTGGATGCTAAATCTCGTGCAAACGCAATATTTATCCCCGCACTTGATAAAGAACTCGCAAAAATTAATGTCTTCTATTTAAATAAAGAAAAAGAATTCCTTGAAGAGGTTGAAATTTTAATTTCGGATTACGCTGCATTTGAGAATCTCGAAGATAATGTAAGCATCCACAGTAATGCCTTCAATATAAGTAGATCTTATCAGTCTGGTGAAGGTTCACTCCCTCGTAAAAAAGGTTCTAGCTCCCAACCTAAGAGAAGGTCTACTTCTGATGCTACTGTGTCGTTCATGAGTAGTGATGATGATGAAGCTGAAAATCAATTCTCGCAACCAACAGGCGGATCGAGATTATCAACCGAAGTTGATTTTCTGGATAACCGGCTATCTTTTTTGTGGACGCCTTCATCACTTGAAGATCAGAAAATACGATTAAAGAAACGAACCATTGAACTTTTCGTTTGGTTATCTGAACTTAAATCATTTTCTTCTCTCAACTATACAGGTTTTTCAAAAATTTTGAAAAAATACGACAAAATAACTAATAGTAGACTCAAATCATCTTATCTTAACAATGTCGTGAATGAATCTTATCCATTTAGGCATCCAACTCGTCAAAGACTCGAGGACAAGATTTCTAAGGTCCAAGAAATTTATGCTAATTTGTGTACAAATGCTAATATGGATATTGCTATTAGAGAGCTCAAAACTCATTTGAGGGAATTCATAGTTTGGGAAAGGAATACTATATGGAGAGATATTATTGGTTTAGAAAGAAAAGCACATGCCGTAGGCATAAAGGCTCCGGTTACTGTGGATCATTCACTCGAAGCAACTTCCAAAATCTCAACGCCTTTTGGTATGCTAAGTGTGTCAAGCACTTTCTGGAGGAATGTGATCATTTTGTTAATATGCGTTGGGG